ATTATCTTCATTAGAGTATACTCGCAACGTTTAATTTCACGAACAAATGCGATGTTTGCCTTTAATTAATGCAATATACCACATATTTAAAAAAACTATGTAGATTCCTAAAATTATTTGTATCAACATACCAAGAATGTCACATTTAAATTTATAATAAATTAACGCCACGATAAATTCTCGAATTTATGATTTTTCCGGTCTGGCTTTCAATAAGTGGGAGACCATCACCAGGAGATTAATTTCTCTCTCTTTCTCTCTCTCTCTCTCTCTGCCGTTCTCGAACTAACATAAGTTTTACCAAAAATCGCACAATCTTCAGTAGCCTTCAGGTGCACTATTGTGCGCCATTTTATCACCTGACGGACGTGACTCGTGCGCGGTGAACACTTCTGATCTTGGAGGTTTCCCGTGCTCGGGTCGTCGGCCACGTAGTTTTCGCCGTGGGTCACGCGAGAAGCTCTCTTAAGGGACGAAGGCGAAGGTCGCCGTCGCGGCCTCGCATCCTCGACCTCTCTCGTAGGAACAGCACGTATAACACACGAGGGCTGCATCCACAGCTGCACCTCCCCACCGATGCGCGATGCCGCCCGTGTGTATCATCGCTTGCGTTCGTACGACTCTGCGACGATGATGTTTTCGACTCGTATTTGTACGAGTGTGCGTGGGTGATGGATAGACGGTTACCGTGTCACTCGTGCAAAGCGCTAAACGGACTTGAATGGCTCGAAATTGCATGGGCGACTGCATTGTGATCGCGTCGACGGCACAAAGGACGGCCGTGCGATGAACGCGCGAGTGTGCGTGCGTCGATGTGTATGCAGATGCGGCACAAAGAGACATCGAGGATCCATCGAGAGATAACGATCTTCCAGATGAACGACATTCTTTCGTACAGTTCGATATCGAATCGATGCCGGCTCGAGATCGGCGGGTGGATCGGCGATCCGAATGGCCGTTCCTTTCATCCGACTGTAGGGTCGCAGGTGTGAATTTGTCGGTAGTTTGAAACTAATGGCAACGTCGTTATATTTTATTTTTTAATCGCTCTCAAAGGTAGAATGATATCGAAGATATCTATAGGAGAGAAGGATAAAGAAAGTTAGAGTCGTTACTTAGAACAATTTACATGGATAGAATGGTTTTAGAATGAAGTATCTAAAAATTTAGCTAAATACAGATCTAAAAATAATTTTGTCAGATTATAAAAATATTTGCAAGGTCTGATTATCAAATTGGCAAAGCTTTTGCAGCATTATCATTGTGCCTAAACGTATGTATATCTATCTAATTATTTGATGGTCCAACAAAATTATTTTCAGATCTGCCTCTAATTAAACTTTTAGATATTTTAATTTTGCTAAAATCGTTCTCTCCGTGCAAAAATGTGCTCTATAATGTTCATACAAGTTTTTAAATTACAGTAGATCTTTTCAAAATCCTTTTATATAAAATGTACTCTTTACTATGAGAAGATCTATCTCTTTCCAGTGCAACCAATGGCGCATGAGACTTTATGAAATAAAAATCCGTTAACGTTCACATTCACGCGTCTCACTCTTCATCTCTCTCTTTCGTATAGATATACTAGTGACATGTCTACCCTAAACAAAATTTATCGTGACTATCCGTTGGCTCTTTTTTAAACTATCGCCTGTGATTCGTCGAGAGCGAAGTGTCAGTTACTCGCGTACTAGATGGAAAAAAAAACTGAAAAAACCGTCGCTTCCTGTCGCATTACCTCCCCTTCCTTCTCCTTCTGTCTTTAAGTACGTGTGCGTTTGTGTGTGATCAGTGTGATTTTGCGCAAGTGTATGTTATAAAGAAGTAAAACCAATCGGCGGTAGTTTCATCCGCGAATCTCTCTTTTTCTGTTATCAAAGACGTTACACCTGGCACATAACTGCCATCTTTACCGCGTCGTTCGCCATAACGTACAAAGGAGAGAGCAAGGGTAAAATCGAAACCGGCAGAAATCACCCCAAAAATTTTGGACCCCTTCTTCTATCTCCCCACTACCAGCACTGTCTTTACCGTTTGCGAAGAGTCTGCGGAGGGGCCCACAGATTCTCACGGAAAAAAAGCGTAATTTTTGATGAAAAAAGGGAGGGACGATGCAAATTCGTGGATGAAAAGGGAAAGCCGCGTGTGAGTCGCGTATGTACCTGCCGCAACATCCTGCGCGTTAGAAAGAACGAGAAATAGGTATGGGGAGTAATGGGTCGCGCGAACGAAGGAAGAAGGGCCCAAAATACACCCAAGTGGGGTAGAACGTGCCGAACGGAGCGAAATTTTATTGGGAATCCGCACCAATGTTGTGCGTGCGCGCCAGTTTCCTAAAGGTATCCTACCTGACCTGTTGCGTCTTTTTTCTCCCTTTTTTTTTTACGATTTCGGGGGAATCCTCCCGTCAGGTAACGCAGATGGAGAAGCGAAAATCGGGTCGGGGCCCCCGAAAAGTGACGCCGCGTCTAGCAGGATATTCACTGGATTTTGAATTCCTTTACTCTTCTTCTTCTTCTACGTTCCTATAACGATCGTTCCCGTAGCCCCGCAGTAGCACCTCGATGGACCCGAAAGATCTACTACCCCACCTGCGTTGCAGCGGAGCGTTTTTACAACGTTCTCGCGAGCGTTTATCTCCATTTTTGGTTTCTCTCCACAGCTTTTATCCTAGAATTGAGAGTCGATGGGAAAGCGAGAAGAGCGGCACCAAATGGCTAAGCGACTTCTACTTTTTGGCATTGCTGACCCTCGTCCCCCTTCGACATTGCGCCTCTCCGCGGTTTTCGACTTTTCCCACAAGAATGTGAAGGAATAGTTTCTTCCCTTGTCTTTAGTCGCGGCTGATTGCTCGCTTCAGCTTACGTGTTTTTACATTTACCTCGTAAACGCGAAGAATACTTACAAAGTCTAACAAAAGAAATGTGTAAATAACGTTGTTGAAACCATGATGAAAACTATTAAGATCCATAGTATCATTAATAAATATAATTTATTAAATTTAATTGAGTATAATTTATTAATTCTTTAAATATCAGGAGACATGGTAATGTTAAATCAATCATTTGTTAAACTGATTCCCATGATCAAGCCGTGTATCTATATATAATTTTTGTTACATCTAATGATAACGTTTTCATCATTTACATAGAAATGTGTTGTGAGATCACGTTTATGTAACTTCATTACTCATTACATAAATTTAATGATAGCTATATAAAAAATTTTCAGCTTTTTTCTTTCTAATCTTTTTTCTTTATATAACGACTTTTTTAAAATCCAGAATTGTCACAAATTCCTTGTCTTAAAATTTCATATATCTTCCCTGTTTTTCAATAATTTTAAAATTTTTTGTATTTTATGATTTGGAAATCAAATATTTTGTTGAGAAACCAATTTAGCATAGAAATGTAAATTACTATTAATATTGCTGTGGACACTGCTTGCATTTTTAATTATTGAATCGGTATTCGAGACACTGCGTAGATATAATGTATATACGTCTTAAAAGCCTTCTTCAAAGCCAAGAACTTTTATTTTTAAAAATTCCCTGACTTTTTCCTGATTTCTCTGACAATTTCCTAATATACTTGCTTTTTAGTTTTGTGGAAAGCCTGTAATTGATTATATATATAGATACATCTAATTTATTATATATTTAATATAACTTGCACAAGCTTTTGCGATCAATTAATGTACGGAAAGCGAATGAAACAAAATCCTAAAGTTTATTGCTTCCAATAACGTACGCAGAATCTCGTTCCTGCGACAGCAACCCTGAGCGCGACATACGTTGAATGCTATAAATCTTCCTTCAAAATAGTGTATCGGTGTATCGAAATAATTATTAAAAATCGCGCGAACCAATCCCGATGCGTAAGCCCATGTTCTCCGAATAAGCGAATCGGTTCCATGCCATTATCCGACAACCCCGGCGCGAACGAGACGAAGGAGGCTCTTAGTAAAGGGGTGGCGAGGGAGAAAGTAGTCATAAGATACGATGATGGATGCTCGCGAAGGGTTGCTGCTGTACCGAAGTAGGGGGAGAGGACACGCCGAAAGGGCAAAAGGGTTCTTCTCGACCAATCGGCCTAACGTAACTGATGAGACCGACCAATCCTGGGGCCCAGCAGGGCCGTGTAGTAGTGGGGAAGATCAGTGCGCCCTTAGGGGCACGGTTTCGTTGCGTCATTCTGACATTCGCTCTGTATCAGTTCGTCGATGAAGATCAACAGTGACTTCTAGAACTCGGAACGATCTCTGATAAACTAGTTTCTTCAAAACCGTTTTTTTTTTATGGGTCCTCAAACTCGCGTCAACCGCTGCGATCCTCATAAATATTAATGAGTTGTTAACAAGCGATAATTAAATTCAAAGATATCGGTTCCAATTATTGCAAACTTAAACATTTTCTCATTCGATCGTCAGTCGCTATCACGCGAAGAAACGTGAACAGTCGGTGCGTTTTTTTTTTTTATCGGAGTGCATAGCTTTTTTTATCTGATGTCTTCCGAAGCGCAATGGAATCGCGCCGATCGATAGATCAACGTGGGATCGCCGAGTGCGATCCCTTTCGCGCGAGAAATCGTTTGTCGTGCTGGACCTCGAAAAACGTCTCAATGTAGGGACGGCGAACGAAACAGACAAAGCTATGATGGTTTTCCTGGAAGAGTCCAGGATGATCTTCACGGACATGCGTCTTCATGCCACCAGCACACCGACCAGCATCCCCACGCGATACCATCATCATCAGAAGTATAGAGCGCAGAACAATAATGATTGTACGATATAATAGCGCAATTATTTTCTGATAAATTTGATAATAAGTTACGAAGCCTGAAAAATATTTTAAATTTACGTCTTGCAACATCAATGTTGCGCCGCATATATTAAGTGCTTAATAAAAGTAAAAATGTGGATTTAATTTTATAAAATTTATCAGGCATAAAAGATTTAGATAAAACAAATATTTAAATCAAGGTTGTCATTTGTTGCAGATGCCGACTTACATGGGGATGTCGATGGTCCTGAACTCAGCGGAGATGACAGGAGTATCGCAAGTGACATCCAAGATGCTACCGAGGCGCATCTTGATAATGACTCCATGGACTCGGACAGGGAAGCTCTCAATCTGGTAAATAAATTTTCATCTAATTCTACTTGTTTTAATTGATTCTTTTTCGTATATTTTTTTCTATATTCACGATTGTAACATTTTTTTAATTGGTGTCAAAATAATTTTGTTAATAATCTTTTACGAAGATCTCTTGTACCTATTTAACATTTTATAAATGGTGTAAAATGTATGTCATTCAATATTTTATTAATATATGGTCGTGATTAGAAGACAAAAAGACATTAATTAAATGTTTGTCATGTATGCGCGTTATTGATAATTATCGGGAAGTATGGTACATAGAGAGTGCTGAAAAGAGGCGCGGCTTTTAGTGCCGCGAGCAAAATATACGAGTATAATTCGCAAATAATTTGCACGGCATCTTGCGTGCACGAAGCTGCAGACGCTTGTATAATACGCGCGAAATTAGTCGCTCTTCGTGTCAATGGATCTATTAACATCGACACATCTGATATAATATATGTTTTTAAAATTAATAACGAATCGCGAACATTTTTACGATCTTAATAAATGATTATTATTGCCGCTATTGTCAAAAAATATAAAAACATATAGAATCTTTAGATATAAACGCTACAAATACTAAGTTCGCTAAATGTAATAATTTGTATGAACGAATATTTAAAAAAGTTACATAATAAGATATAGTTAATGAAGTAATCCACAACAATTAAAAGGTTATATAAAATATTTCTTTTATAAAAAAAAATATATACAATTATTTTTAATACATAAATAATCAAATTAAATAAAAAATCTTTTTATTCATTTCTATTTATTCTTTAAAATAGTATATGTAATATTTTTATAAGAATTTTTCTATCGATTATATAGTCAATGTATTTTATTTACGCTGTTGTTATTGATAATTAAATGTGTCTTCGTACTAAACTTGCCAATAATATTTACAAAAGATGATTTTCTTCAATAACTTAACTTCAATGGTATTTTCTCTACTTATTTTGACGAAAGCGTGCTTTGTCATGTCACCCATTGTCATCTGTTGCCTGTGTTCGTTGCTTAAATGTATCAACAACGTTACCAATCCCATTTGCGAGCATAATATCAAGCGTGCTTTCTTTCGAGACGAACGTTCGCGGACGCAGCGCGACCGTGTCTTCGATTTTTTTTTTTTCTTCCGTACAAGACGCTCTTGACGGGCGTAAAAAGCGCTCGCGATCAATATTTGACAAATAAATAAAGGAAGCCACTAGTGAGATGGACGACAAGAAGGGACGACAACGTAGGGAGAGTAGGTTTTATAAAACACAAAAGCGCAGGATGGACCGTAGTGACCAATATCCTGACCTGGCCGAGTGTAAACACGGCTTTGTTCGACGGCGAATTTACTCTGTAATATTAGGGAGAGTGGCCCTCCTCGCGCGCGGTCCGGCTGATTCTTCGTGTTCTCGGTCCCACGTTACGGCGTGAAATGTCGTAGCCCGCATTTTAGGGGAATCAAAGATTGTGACTTGATAATATGAAACGATAAACTATTTAGTTGTAGAACACCGAAATTTGTGCATAGCATCTTGTTGACTGAAGCCGTTCAAAAAAGATTTCTCTAACGACACAAAGAATATTCTTGACATATTCGATCTTTATCTTTATGCAGTATAAAAATACAACGATATTAAAATTAGATCAATATTTCCTATATTTTTCTTTTTCAAATTAAATAAAATTCTCTATATAATTAAATAAGTCCTTATATATCGATCCTATTTTTTGATAGATTAAGGAATATAGCATTAGATTCATAAATCTTTTCTATGGGTGTAGTGACGACTTTTCATGAAAATTGGACAGGATGTTTACTGAAGTTTTGTGAAAAAGTTCTCTGTGAAAATGCTCCGATTTTTCAGATATTTTTATTTAAAATTCCAAGTAATATTGGAAAACTTTTTAATGTAGTTTTGAAATAAATTGAAATGCAAGTGACACAAACAACTATATATATTGAAAACTAGTAGAAGGTTTTATGAAATTACATATATTTATCATTTTCTATAATTAAAGCCGCAAAATATAGAAAGGATAACATACGGAAGACTCGCGTACTACAATATATTATAATATCAGAGCTACTCTCTTCTGTTAAGTATCATATTTTTTACTATCACTCTGATCTTTTGAATAAAAACGTGTAAGAATATTTATACATACGTACACCTATACTACATTTATTGCTAACCGATTGTCAACATTTTGCATTAAGAAAAAATAATCAAAGTAACAATGTTTTCAAGAAAGAAACAGAATTGAAATATTTAAAGATAAAATTATAAAAAAAAATTTCCTAATACTCTCTCTGATTCAACTCTATGAAAATCCTTGATTTTCAAGAGTAAAAAAGAAATCCCCTATAAATCGTAGGTTTTTCAAGTTTTCCATCAGATAGTAAACATGACTTTTTAGGAAGATAAATACATGTATATCTTAAGATATGTAGGTATATCTATTAATTAGACATTTTTCACACGATTTCTGTGGCATATTTTTAGCTAAATTTACGTTAGATTTATTAACACAAAAAATCGAATTAATGCAAATTCGGTGTTACTTCAGGTCACGGATGTCTCGCAACGCAACAGCAGCAGCGGTACCAGCGGCAGCGCGTCCTCGCCGAGTTCTGGAATCAGCAGCCAGCTCACAGGCAGTCACCAGCAGCAACACACGTCCGGCCAACAAAACAATAGCAATTCTGCGCTGGCGACCGCTCAATTGCTCAGCCAGCAATTGCTGATGCATGGTGCATTAGGGACCCAGGATCTTCAAGCGCTCGCTTCGACGTTGCAGCATCATCAACTACAGTCGTTACAACAACAACTACAGCAATTCGCCATGTTTCAGGCTAACCCAGCGGCGGGACAGCTTCCGCCGTTCTTCTTGCAAAATCAGGTGGGTGATAACAATGAAATTCATTCTATATATATATGCAGATCGGAATCTATTAAAAATAATAATCCGTTTTATCGATATAACTACTTGGTCGAATTACTTATCTACTTAAAATCACAAATTGCATTCCGTATCATTGTGATTTCGTCAGCGGGATCGGACCCGATCGGAGCGGATCGTCAAAGCGGCGACGTTCGCCAGCGTTATCTGATCAGGGTGCAGATCAGGCGAGAGCAAACGTCTTATTCTTCGCGTATTCGCGATTCGACGTCAAGATAGTCGTGTGGCAACGGCACAAAGGAAACCGGGGTGCTACCTTCTCGTTTAGGCTTGCTCTCATCGATGCAAATGTACACGAACAGTGCCTTGCAACCGCATCACTGCTGAATTTCGCGCTCCATTACGTCGCATTACAGTCTTCTTAAAGGAATAGTCATCAAAATAATCCCCGACGCAATCTCTAATGGAATTTGCGGTATCCGTTTATTTAGTCCCATTATGCGTATATCTATTGCTTCGCGTCGACGAAAGCAAAAAGTGGAATGCAATGTAATTTATCGCAAAAGTAATAGCTGAAAAATCTTAGTATAGAATCGGTTGTGCAACACGATGAAAAAGATTACTAAGGAATCTGAATTTTAAAATACGCCTGATAACATCACAGTAATATAACAATACAGAAAACGTTTACAAAACGAATAATAATTGACGACATCCGCGGAAAAAGCATACAAAGCGATTTCCTGATTTTCCTCGATAAATATCACGTTTCGAGCATGCCTTAAAACCCGCGCCTGACGATCGCCGAAAAAGAAGCGACATATTTATCAGTCGTCTCGCAGCATGCATTTCTCCGAAGAAAGGATCGTTCCACGAGATTTTCTCACTATTTGTTCGTCGGATCTTTCGAATCGACAGAAGGTGGAGGAATCGATCTACGATATCCGGGGATACATTGAAAAACGATCCCGCTTCCTGGATGCGCTCCCTCCCCTCCTTTTTCCTCATTTATGCGGCCCTTCTCGCGAGCGATCTGAATGGACCGGGCTTTGCATTTACGGAAAAAAAAAATGTCTATAGACTCCATCACGACGTGCGCGTGCAACTATAGTCTCCGGGAAAAATCAACAAAACGACTTCGAGCTTTAGCACGCTTAATGGACGGCCGCGTTCGTGCGTGTGTATTATATATTTATTGTTCACGCACACGTATACGCGTATTTGCACATAGGGCCCTAGATATTCCCCGTCTGTATCAGAAGGTACCGCACGATGCAACAAGGTGGGCTTAGAGCCCTTCGGCACCTTGCCCCGGGGCATCTTTTGTTACCTCACACGTGGCCAGGATGTTTCCTTTTTTCATCGCGCTCCTTCTCTTTCTTAGCTGCTACAGAAGGACCTTCCTTCTCTCCGTGTGTTCTTCCTTCTTCTTTTTTTTATTCGTGTGCGGCATTAAGACGGGCACACGACCTTCTCCATTCGGGAAAGCGCTGTGCCGAATACAACCTGCCCCTTTCAACCCCTTCGCGGGCGGTTACGCGTGTGCGCCACGTGAGGACTTTTGTGGCTTATCTGCCGCAACAAAGATTTCTTCATTCAGAGATCGCCCTTCGGGAACCTTTCATACCTGCATTTTAATTACTGTGAAACGATCTTTTTTGCTCGAATAATTATTATAAGTATATAAAAAATTTTTTAGATACAGAATAACATGTGTATCACTATTTTTTATATAAAGATTCAGAATCATCGAGTAAATTAAAGCAAAAGTGAATAAAACATACTATATATATTGTAGATACACATACAGAATACAAAATACATTTTTACTTTTACATACTTTTATATTTGTTAAGTTTCATAAAAGTTACCGTATGCACTGATTTTTTTTATCAATTGTTACTTTCATGCAGTAAAAAATGCTTGTATTTCTGCAAATATTTCTAAATCAGTGTTCCATTTCTTAAGCACTAAGAGATCAACCCCGCTTAAAGTTAAACAGAATGTCTCCTGCGTAGACGATAAACCTGTCGCGGTTGATCCTGCACGTGGCTCAACTCGAGACATTTCCGTAGGGTATCTTCGCGGCCACAATGCGCATAAACTAGCTGCTCGTATACCGGCGACACGCGACCAATCCCGAACCCTTTCCGACCTAAAGTACCGTGCCCGTGATGCGAACCCTTCATTCTTATATAATCGAGTATCGCGCTAAGGAATGGATGAAGATAATCGATCGGATTCAACCCTTGGAACTATATTTTTCGTACCTGTACACGCGCCCAACACGTGCCACGTTCTGTAAAAACACTGAAAAATTTATCTTCAAGATTGACGGGCGCAAAATTATGTATAAGTGACTGTATACATAACTATGTTTTTGGATCACAATGCTCGTTTACAGAAATGTAGGACCGTAGAGATACGCGATGAATCAATTATAAAGCTGTTTTTCATTTTAAAATGCATTTTAAAGGTATCGCGGAAATAAATTTCTATTTTAAATAGAGATGAAGTTTACATGAGACCATTATTGATTTTTACCAATGGTCGTCAACGTCTTGCAGGGGCTGTTGCAGAGCGGTGGCTACCCAACAAGACCGAGTCATCCGCGCTCACAGTCCATGCAGGTACGATTTAGGACAGAGTTGTATCCAGGCATTGTTGATTGCAAAATTTATTTACGGACAAAACGCATGGAGATTATTTTGTAATAATAAGGGTTAAAATTCCTTTAAACGGCTCGATACAACTTTAATTTGCATGTTTAGAACTGCGAATGATTATTTTATATGATTATTTTAAACATCCCGTGCATGTTTTCGAATAATTTAAAATTGATAAAAAAAACTATTATTTAAATCAATATAATGGCAGAAAGAGAAGTCACATAAATGAGCAATTTAATCAACCTAAAATTAAATCTAGTTTATGAAAACAAGAAAATACGAATTCAAGAAAAAAAATATAGAAAATGGTTGTTCATTAGTATATAATAAATAGTTAAAATAAAAAATCTATTATTGTTAGGTGCAAGCAGCAGCGCAGTTGCTACAGAAGCAGCAAGTTCTTCAAAATAGCGGCAATTTGGTCGGTCGAAGTTTGGCGCAAAGATCATCACCACCACCTAGCACACCACCAGCAGTAAAACCGACGAGATTAGAACCTTCGCCGGAGGAAACAACGGACCTTGAAGAGTTAGAACAGTTCGCCAAAACCTTCAAACAAAGACGGATCAAGTTAGGTTTTACTCAAGGAGATGTCGGACTCGCCATGGGAAAACTCTACGGCAACGACTTCTCTCAAACTACGATCTCCAGGTGAACATATTTTTTGTTTATTTTTTATTAAACTTTAATTAAATGAATATATAATTCTCACATAGTATAAACGCTGTGAAATGTTTCAAAAATGTCTTTATATTACGAGTATTCTGAGTTTTTGAGTTGTTTTCTTTTTCAGACTATTGAGCTTATAAATTATTCGAATTATTTCTTTTGTGTATAATAGAAATAATATCTAAAACAAGAGTAATTTATATATACTTACGTTCTTTTAAAGTTAGTGAAATAAATGATCAGTGACTTTAAGTTAAGCAAAATCGATGATTATACATTCTAGGTTTGAAGCACTGAATCTTTCCTTCAAAAATATGTGCAAGCTGAAACCACTGTTACAAAAGTGGCTAGAAGATGCCGATAATTCATTGAACAATCCTAACTCTTTGTCGAATCCACTTACGACACCGGAAGCGATTGGCAGGCGGCGGAAGAAGAGAACGTCGATAGAGACCAGCGTAAGAGTGGCTCTCGAAAAGTCTTTTATCCAAAACCCAAAGCCCACGTCCGAGGAGATAACCATACTGGCTGATAGTCTTGCAATGGAGAAAGAAGTAGTTCGTGTGTGGTTTTGTAACAGGTAGATACTAAAACTGTTAAGATATATACATCTGATTATATCCAGAATTTTTTTAGAGGGGATTTTGTCATTGTAATCTATTATTGTATAAACAGAATTTTTTTTGCGTTAATAAGTTGTTTTGAAAAATTTTAAAGCTTAAAATGTTCCTTTTTCGAGCTTTATTTTGAATAGGAAAAAATAGATATCTCTCTCTCTCTCTCTTTCTCTCTTTCTCTCAACTTTTAATCATAAATTTTAGAGGAAATTTGATTCCCAGATACGTCCGTAAATATACATAATTGGATATATATCGAAAGATCTTAATTTTTTTTTCTTTATTACAATAATAAAATATGGCTTTTGCATCAGTTTTCTTTCTCTTCAAGCAACATGTGATTATATTTCAGGAGGCAGAAGGAAAAGAGGATCAATCCACCGACAGCTGCAATGGGCAGTCCAACAATGACGTCGTCTGCACCTTCAGTATTTGCTTCCCTCGCCAATTCTATCTCTGGCAGTCCTTTAGCGCTTACAACGCATTCCTCCAGCGCTGGCCACTCGCATCCTCATCCAACACCCATACCTCTCGCTTTAGTAACTTCGTCAGGCGGCAATTACCATCCACTGAATAACAAGTCCCACGAGTGACACCAGCAAGTGACCCATCAAGGGGACACTCTCTATCATCAGCACCATCAGCAATCACACCAACAGCAACCGCATCATCATCAGCAACAAGCACGACGTTTGTGTAATCTACCAGAATTCTATCATTAACCAATGATTTGATTTCTCGAAGCTATTAATTGAGGTAACGTTCGGAATATCGCACCTCAATGATCTCGAAGTCTCCCTATTCTTTGTTTATTGGTATTGAGTTAATTTATTCGTTCGTAACCTCCCCTTTAATCCCGTTTTATATTTTAATATTTTGACTATGAAGAGAAAATTAAGACAATGGACAAGTTAAATTTGACATTTAACAATTAACTAGTATCACTGATAAGGCTATCGATAAATTTCGATAGTAGCGTACAAGAAATAAAGAATTCATGAAAAAATCACAAATAGAATCCAAAAAAAGATATAATCAATTTTATAGATTATTGAGGAGTGTAAACTAATTGAGGAGTGATTGAACATGAGGGTGTAAATTAAATGAAATATTATAAATAAGAGAAATCTAAATCCATGTTGATGATTAAATCACCCCTAATTATAAGCATTTAAAGGGTATACGAAGACACGCTGCGTATTATATACAGTATGAATATTAATATGCACTTTTAAGTATACGGAAAACTAATAACTAATTCGGTTGAATGCATTAGTGTGCACTAGTTCACATTAAAGACTGTTGTATAGAAGTTGATAAATACGTAAACATAATATACATGAAATATAGTTGAATCAGCAAAATGTTTAGCATAAGTTATCTTTTTTATATATCGTATGCTGCACATTTTATCGATCGAAGATGTTTATGTTTATTATGTTTATACACCTAAATAGATAATATGTAACATACTTTTTAATCTGTAATAGTGCAAATTAATATATCCAACCGCGTACAAATTTGTTATATAAGTTTTTTATTTATACATATATGAGGCAATTATGAGAGATTATTGTATTATTATTAGGACAATTTTTTTGATGGAATAGCTTTAATTCTACGTAATTGTTTACGCTTCAATAAGCGTATAAAGTTAATCATGTTGGAATACATCGTTTTTTTCTCATTTGAAAACTATTCAATGGCGAACAGAACTTGCATTTATCTGGAAACAAAACGAACTGACTTTAACACTAGAAGTAACGAGCGGTCGTCCTATTTTTTTTTAGATTAATATTATTAGAAAACACGATAGTGTTTCGGAGAACGCGTGATAATATTTAGCGATAACACGAGATCAACCGTCAAAATTTATAAACAAAATTTAAACATTTTTTGACTTATAATTATGTCTTTCATATTGGTGAAATATTTTTCATCATTTTATTTATTTTCATAGCAATTTACAATACTTGATTACTTTAGTAAGTAAGAAACATCGATATTTCTAGTGTTAAATGCTTGTAGATCACTAATAACAAGAAAAGTTTGACAAAATTCTTAATTGCAACCTGATCAGTGTTCGTGAAAATAGATCAATACGTGTGTACACACACACACACACACACACACACACACACACACACATACATATATATATGAATATTTTTTAAAAATATATAATATATAATTTTATATAATTTTTATAAATTACTTTTGATATATTTAAATTATCGTTTCAAAAAATAATAATTGACGACTTTTTATTGTCAACTTTTTTTAATACCTTTGTTTTTAATACCTAATACATGCTAGTGTACAAAAAATTAGTCATTCGCGAGGAAATACTTATTACTTATTATTTTTTTATAAATTCATTAATCAATTGGATTGCAACATTTTCAAAAATTATAATTAACGATTTAATTATATCGAACAATCGAACACTTCATTAAGCAAGCTACATACTTACATAGATGTTTGAATGATTTAAATTGCAATAAATAATGCAGAAAAAAAATTTCTTTACTGGTTCTTTTTCTTTTCTTTATTTTTGACATTTTTTTAAAGATAATTTTATTGGATGACGCCTTTACGACATCCAATAAAATTATTCTCTGCGACAAGCAGAGCTGTAGCGTCTCAATGATAAAATAGCGAGATCCGACAATACAATTGTACATATATAGATTACGTAGGCGTGTCTGTCATCGTATCGTACATATCTGTGTCACAGGGCTGTATATATTATACGATTTAAGTCCATCAAATGTTATCGAGGATGCGATGCAAGACGTTTGCGTGCAGCGTCGCTTTCCCGCGAGCATAGCAACGTTTAGTATACTTGCATCCTTGATGAAAAAGTTTTGACAGTCACGAGCAATTAGTTAGCGGTAGTTAGAAATACTGTACATAATGCGGTACCTAGGTAATACGTAATGTATATATGACCACAAACACTAAATGGCGAGCTATATAAAGCGTGCGCGCGTTGTACACTCGTATATCGAGATAGACGCAGTGGAGGTTCAGACGCTTCCGATTTTTACGTTATATTTTATTCGTGAAAGTATACAACATAATACGTCATGTATCTTTTAATAGGAGTTATTTAATATATTTTAATATATATATATTTTTTTGTATATAGAGAAAAGAATTTTGTATATACCTATTGGTATATTAGTTAGAAACTTTTCGCTCTCCGCTGTGACTCTCGATTTACGCTCGCTATCATCAATCCGTTTCCCGCGAACATTTTTGGTGATTAATTAAGGGCTATGATTTTAGATTATAGGCCAGGAAACGTGATATACCAATCATATACTTATTCCTGAAACTCATGCGTGTGTATAGATTCCATTATCAACGTGAAATATTTGCGTAAGAATGTATACATATATAAATATATATAAATATGGTACTTTTATTGTAATATCACGTAAGTTGTCGACTGTGCATCATAGTATATAAAAAAATCTTTATGTGCATCTGCGTATACATGTGCACATATAAATATACATAAATGTATAAACGGACGCTGTATATAGTAAAGATTTAATAGGACGAGATAAGATTTAATAGCATCGTGTACTATTATCATCATCATTATCATTATGTCATCATTATCATCATATTATTGAGATCAGTATGTAGTCACAATACATGCTACTGTTGTTATTGTCGCTTGTCGTGTACATTACCATACGACTTTTTATGTATCTGACAGTGTTTTACGTTTCTAACTGTACGTAGTCACACGAGGAAAGCGAATGCTGTCATTACATGATTCAATAATTTGCGTGGTGCCACTTTGTTGTTATGTTGCGCTATGAAATAATTTGAAATGTAACAGCAGTATTTTGATGTATGTGAGAAACTTTAATTGTGTAGTTTTTTCAAAATTATTATTTTAGCGAGTCCAATTACGAAAAATTAATATTGTACAAGAATATCAGAGAATTTTTTTACAATGAGAATTGGGCCGAGCTGTTAGACCACGTATGAGCAACATTCGATAGCTTCTTTTTGTCTCATTTCATATACTTCATCTCATTTCCTTAAACCTGAACTCCCAGAGTCGTGGACCAAGCTGTAGCGAAAACACATTCTTGACAAAAACACGCGCACGAAACAGAAAGTTGAATTATAGTAAGATAAAGGGAGAAACGCGAATAAAAAGAGTTCCTAAGGCCGCACATCCGTTGACGCGGACGACGATGAGTGAAAAGAGAATAGGGAAGTAGAGAATACGATACCTCTTAGAAGGAAATTGGAAAGAGAAGACAGTTAAGCAAAGAGAGTCATAAAGGCGGGGAGAAGGTTATCGATTTTTGTTCGTCAGCAGTTTGTACATAAATAACTAATATGATAATGATATAGAGATACGATCCCCACTCCTCTCCTCGCTACGGCATCATCGTCGGCTAATTACTCGTTCGATATCTTGTAATGCGTTTAATAGACGTAATGCGCAAACGGATAGACGTTTTATTGTATTAGTTACACCCATCAATTATTATTAGTTATTATTATTTCATTATATTTTAACTTTTATTATTTGAGAATAAAAGTGCTAGAGAGCTTTCAGTTACAGCAGCATTTTTTTTTGTTTGATTTTCTGTAGTTCCTTATTCCTTTATTCCTTTCAAGTTACGATTTTAGTTTATATTTTTGTCAAAAAAAGAAGATATATGCGAAAATATCTTTTATGGCATATAGATCATTTTTGATAACAGATGCCTATATATCTTATGTTTGGAGAATTATTGTTGTTTTTTTATTGTTACATTTGTGATGTCACGTTAAAATGTATTTTTCTCCTACCGTCCTGTCATTTTCATCTGTGTGTGTATATATTATTTGTATATACAATCTAATAGTGGATAGATAATATTCGATTTGCTATATATATCTGCGTTAAAGCCAACTTACGATTAGACGGGATAAGAAGTAAGAAGAAGAAATATAGGATTAAAATGTAATGAAGTAATTCTTAATTATTTGAAAATTCTTGATGATGCCAAAAATCATATAATTATCGGTTATAAAATTTATATTGTACGACAATTTGTGAATTATTCAAACACGACATATTTTAAATTACTAAATTAACTTTGCACAGAATCATTTTTTATAAAGCACACATGAAATTTGAACGAATAGAAATTATACGATCTCTTGCTTTTTATTTCCATCTGCGTCATAATTGGCTTAAGGCGATTCTAGATGTTCTCAGTAATTAGGAGAAAACGAAGCTACAAAGCTCCGGGTATACCAATTAGTCGACTACTTGTAGGAGAATTTATACTTTCGACGCAAAAGACGTGCAATTGGATACTTTAAGTTTTGACAAGGCTAAATGCCAAATTACGAAAAACTCAGCTAAAGCTTGATTTGAAGGAACATTAAAAAGAGTACGATTAATCTTTCTACAATAACTGTGAAATCAGCTTATATATTATGCGTAAATATTTCTGAAGTATACTTAAAGAGATCTTTATACTCTAAGCGAAAATAATTTTTCTTGTGCAATTGGATCGTAATAGGAAATCGTGCATTTTCTCAATTTTTGGCATTTCGCATCTTAATT